CTTTTAGATCACACCTTTTAAGTGTGATTAAAAATATTTAGATCACATATTTTAAGTGTGATTAAAAATATTTATACCACATCTTTTAAGTGTGATTAATAATATTTAGATCACACCCTTTAAGTGTGATTAAAAATATTTAGATCACATCTTTTAAATGTGATTAATAACATTTAGATCACACCTTTTAAATGTGATTAAAAATATTTAGATCACATATTTTAAGTGTGATTAAAAATATTTAGATCACATCTTTTAAATGTGATTAATAACATTTAAATCACACCTTTTAAATGTGATTAAAAATATTTAGATCACATATTTTAAGTGTGATTAAAAATATTTAGATCACATCTTTTAAGTGTTATTAATAACATTTACACAACATCTTTTAAGTGTGATTAATAACTAATAAAATCTATGATAAAAAAAGGATTCGATATATTTGAAAATAATCAATATTATTTTTGTATGCACATTTGAAGAATGTAATACACACTATATACTATAATTTGAATCATAACCACATATTGAATGAAATAACATCATATATTTCATAAATAAAAATTAAATGTTCAAAAGTATATACAAAGGAATTAAATAAAAAAAAATTTAACTGAGCTTACACATATTAAAAATGAAAAAACTTAAAAAACTAAGTTCTTTAATTCTTTGACCATATTTTGCATCTCTCCAAGAAATTTCTGAACTGAAAAATGAAAACACAAATTAATTTAGAAACCACATAAACATATGAATAAACTAACTATTTATAGAGACTATTCTAATCTTACAAAAGATACAATCGGACTTTTTCTCATCATACGGACTCTTCATCCTCCTGCTTCAATAGAAAAAGAATAACCACCTTGATTGAATAATCAATTCTCATGGAAAAAATGGACCAAATATCTTAAGATAGCTGAATATGAACTATCATTACAGGGCAACAATGATCAGGAGAAGGAACAGAGTTATGCAAACATTTTATCCGTGCCCTTAAATATAGGAAAACTCACGTGTTGAAAGATTTCAGCAGTTAACTCATCATCAGACATGACCATGCAGAAAAACAAATTAATAGCCAGAAGAGAGTTGTCATCTCCATTTAAAAATTGATAATTATTCCAAGACATGAACATGCAGAAAACAAATTGTTCCATTTCTAAAACCACATATCCCTACAACAAATTAAGATCTTCAAAAAAATAAAAATAAATAAATAATACTTCTACCACACTCTTCCAAGGAATTCTGCAAATTCTTTGAAATTTTAGAGTTTATCACAGATCAAAGGATAAAAAATTTAATCCTACATGACAAAATTTGTAGAACAGTGTAATTATATAAATCATTTTGTGTTTTATGATTTATAGCAGGTTCAGAGTATGTAAATATATCCACATACCATAACAATATCTTGGGGATCCACCTGCCAAGAAAACAAATATTCAAATGTCATCCTATGAGCTATTGCAAATTGTGCAATCAACACCAAACGAAAAAATATATAAATATAAGAAACATGCAAGAGAAAAGATGGGATGCCCAACCTGCTTTCACATTGTTACTAGTGAAGCCTCATTGTGTGAGATTAACATCAGACACTCAAATTTAAGTGATATCTATAGGCTTCTCCCTTCCAGTGAAGTCCTTCAGCTTTAATACAGAATAATACCTCAAGCAGTGCCTTGGTTCAATTCATTTCCTATAGTGAGAATCGTCTACATTACTTGACGCAATTTTGCAGATTCTTTTACCTATAATAATGGGTATGATATTAAGGTACTGAAAATGATTTCTCACTAGTTCTAACTTCACAAACCCTAGAAAAAAGGAAGTACCTCTCTAGCAGCAGCATTAATTATGTTCAAGTTACATCTTAAGTCATTCACCTGAACAAGTTCAAAGCTATAATATAATCACAAACAGCTAGAAATAATAATAGCATTTGTTCTTAGATAATACACACAAAAAAAGGTCCCAGATCAATATACCTGACTGGAAAAAGTAATTCTGAACGCAAATACTCACAATTTGGACTCCACTCGCGCGACATTCATCAAGTCCAAGAAAAATTGAAATGTTCATCAAGCACAAAATTTGTTATCAATACCTATACAAGATTTTTGCATTTCCCTTCAATCCAACATCAACCCAAAACAAAAACCTGTTCACACTTTCCAAGCATATCGTTGGTCCCATTGGAGTTCTGAAAGAAAGAAAAATCAATAAGAAACAAATAAAATAGTTAAACATAATTTTAAACAATAAATGGATTGTCAGTGGGCAAATGTCCTCCTTAAGTCAGGCTAATAATAAAAGGCCCAGTTGCAAAAAGTTTTTGTTCAGACAACATTCAAGTTGGGCAATATGAAGAAGCATATATTTCACAAACCTGAATACCATCAAATATATTCCCCAAGATTCCAGGACCTAACTCCACCGACAGAGGCTGTAATATCAATGGACAAGATAAATGTTAGTGCATTTAATGTTTGATCTATAACTACTCAAAAGTTCTAACAATAATATTGTAAAAAACATAACAAGATTATTGATGATCAACCCAGCTGTTTCTTCATACACGGAGAGAATATATAAACAACAAATTATTGTCAATATTAAGTTGTTTTAGTTCCACCATGTACAAGATGATAACTGTAGCTACAAGAAACTTGGTGCAAAGGGAGGAGAGTGACAGTAAGGAAGGAGACTCATTAAATCAAGAAAGATGATGATGTCCATTAAAGACCTACAAGGCTCAATTAAGGCCTAGGTTAAAAAGCTCTTAACAATATTTGTAGAATTTATGTACATATATATAAGCTATCATTAATAAGCATCAAGGGGATGCAACTTGTACACATAAGCCTCTAAAGACACAACAGAGTTTCATAGTTCGACTGTGTAATGAATGTATTGTGTTAATATTATATACACCCTAAGCCTCTAAAATCTTCTAGATGAACTGCTCATATACTCCTGCCCATTGTAGTCCAATCAAAGTCTATATAGCTTTACACTGTGATGGCTTCTACAAAATCCTTGAAAGGTTATATTCAAATGTGTAAGTGGCATGTGTAAGCTAGAGCAATAAAACAAAAGAGTGGTATCAACAAACCAGAATCACCAGAGATTTCATAAACACTAGTTATACTCGTTACAAAATTCACTTACACACATACATGTTACATATTAATAAAACAGTAAAATAGAAATTTGAGCTCATAAAGCACAAGATAAAAATTAAAATTAAAGATTAAAAAAAAATGCCAATTACAATTCACACAAGGACAGTACAATTCACTCAATCTAACAACAAAGTGAACAGCACCATCAGCTAGTATACCAAATTACATTCATAATGCTACTCAATTCATCGAATCAACAATATTTGAGGCACTACTACCAAAATGATGAGAGAGCAACAATAACCAAAGATCATAAGATATCCAATAAGCAATTACACAATCAACACAACAAAAAAATGCCTGATTTGACTCAGTTCTCTCCTAACTACTTGTTCACCAAAAATCGATACACAATTCTCTCTACATCTGATTCAGATGCACCTATTCAAATCAAAATCAAGACAAAAAATGCAGCTAGATCCAGAGATCTAATCAATAAACAAAAGCGTCAAATTTCAACATCGATACAATATATCGTTGATTCTAAAATCAATCAACTCACAGTATTGCCGAGAGCAATGACATTGAGGAAAGTGGAAGCGCGGCGTGAGGACGATGAGTTTTCGTCGACATATTCGTTGGCAAGCAAAGCAGATGCTTGGCGCATCGAATCGGCTAGCTGAGCCAATTCGTCGATCGCGTCCATTGACTTGATGAATCAAAGAACTCGATTGAAGAGAGAGAGAGAGAGAGAGAGAGAGAGAGAGAGATGATCAGATCGAAGGAGGAGGAGGGATCGAGATGAATGTAGAGAGAGAAAGAAACCCTAGGTTGATACAAGATGAAAATGATGATGGAGAGAGATCCACTGATAATATTTGTGTTGTTGAGTAAGTAAGTAGATAGTAATTTACAAAAACAAAAAACAAAAAACAAAACGAACGGTGAGATAAAGTTAATGTTAAAATTTATTAATTAAAAATAAGTTTTTTTTTTTTAATCAAATTAAGTCTACAAAAAATAGTTCATATTTGCGTGCGTAGTTTTTTTAGTAATTTTTTAGACCAGTTTTAAAGTTGTTTTTTTTTTTTATAAAAATTATAAATATACCCAAATAAGAGCATCTCCAATACACTAGGCATATAATACTTGTTAGTTAAAATGCTTAGTATGATTCACTTTTTTCAATTCCAATGCACTAGGCATATGATTAGGCATTTTGGCTCAACTCATATTCACTAGCTACATGTAGCTAGCCTTCAACGCTAGGCAAAATGTATTCAATCATTAGGATCATTTCCCTCCATCTTTGTTGTTGACATGGCATTCTATAAAATTAATAGTATTTAGATAAATAGCTAAAATAAAGAGCATGATTGGAGTAGAAACATAAAACAATTGATAGGCAAAATAAAATATATACTTTATAGTAATATTTAGATAGGCAAAATACCTACTACCGTTGGAGATGCTCTAAAGAGTTAAATGTATTTTGAATTTTTTTTTTTAAATTTGTGTTTTGGTGTTGAGGTTTTTTTTAAAAAGAAAAATTTGCGTATTGTATATTTTATATAAAAATCAAATTAGAATATTTTATACAATCACGCCTATTTAGGCACACTTATTTAAAAAGTATGATTAAAAGGTAGTAATGTATATATAATCAAACTTTAATTAGAAAGTGTGATTAAAAAATATATAAATAATCACACTTTAATTAGAATGCGTGATTATATATATATATATATATATATTTAAAAAGTGTGATTAAAAAGTAGTATTGTATATATAATCATACTTTGATTAAAAGGTGTGATTAAAAAATGGGAGCTTTTTTGATAAATCCATTTTCTAAGAGTTTTCACACTTTAATTAGAATGTGTGATTAAAATATATATATATATATAATCATACTAATTTAAAAAGTGTGATTAAAAAGTAATAGTATATATATAATTACACTTTAATTAGAATGTGTGATTAAAAAATATATAAATAATTACACTTTAATTAGAATGTGTGATTAATATATATATATATATATATATTTTTGATCAGCAAAGAAAAATTTCATATAACAGCATGAAATTAAAAGTACAAGAAGATGAAATGCATCGAGAGAGATTCGGAAGTATAAAAATACCCCTACTACTGTTACTCGCATCCATACAACAAACTCCTAAGCCTCTCGATTTTTTAAAAAAAGTTAAGAAGAACTTAACTAGAAAATTAAAATACATGAATCCCCACAAAATAACCCACAAAGACACCCAAAACAAACTAACAAACTAACAAGACCCACATCACATCTGTTAAACAAACTAAAATACAAGAACTAAACTAAAGACACCTAAGCAGCCCGAAAGCAACCCACACCTCTGCCAAGACCACGTCACTGCTGCTATAACTCCCCATGCCTCACGTCTCTGCTGCATCAACTCCCCATGCCTTTACTGCATCAACACCCCACGCCTCCCAACTCCCAATGCCCACTCCGGCCGAGGAGACTCCAAAGCCACCACCGGGAAGACTACACCTCATGACTACACCTCCTCAGCCTACTCCACCATCGAGAAGACTCCAATGCCCATTCCCCAAGACTACACCTTCTCTGCTGCAACAGGTCTTCTTCACCCAATACCCACGCTCTGCTGCCAAACTCCAAAGGCAACACCGGAAAAGTCCAAGCTGCTACTACTTCTCTCCCTGAAACAAAATCCTAACGGCTGAGGCTTACAGGATAACTTAGGAACCAACAGGTCTTCAATCTCACACTGCGGATCCACACACCCACCGAACACCGACCACCCACTGGGACACCTCCATACATATGGTAGAACTTCACCCCTCAAACTCTCACTCGAGGAGGAGCGCTCGAGTGACAACCGGACAGAACTGGATCGCCTACGATACCTTTGTTTCCACCCAAAAAGCGCACCCCTCAAACTCCTACTCGCCAAAAAGCGCTCGAATGAAATACCAGGATGCCCTTGCTGAATCAGCTATTACGGCAAGGTTGAATCACAAGAGGACAAACGAAGACAAACCTGTGTGGCCCCTGAAGAAAGATCTGGACACACCAAACACTCTCCCGCAGCAACAAAACACACCTAGGTGGGAAGAAATGGGGGACTCAAGTTTATTGAAAGAAAAAACTAACAAGACAACCGCCGAAACGAGCTAGGCCAGCCGACCGCCATAGCCAAAGGCGGTGGCCGGCCGGCCCGAAAAGAGGCCGGAGAAGGAGGGTTTTAGAGAGAGAAAAGAGAGGTTTCGGCAGTTGGAAGGAGGACAGACTCTTTGTGATTAATATATATATATAATCACGCTTATTTAAAAAGTGTGATTAAAAAGTAGTAGTGTATATATAATCATACTTTAATTAGAATGTGTGATTAAAAATATATATATAATCACACTTAATTGAAAAGTGACATAAAAATAAATATTATCATACTCAATCAAATTAGAATGTGATTAAAATATCAATCTAATTTTTTTTTATCACACTTCCAATAAAAGAGATTTTTTTTTTTTTGTCAGAAGTGTGATCTTTAACTATTTTTATAAATAACTAACTCGGTCTAGCCTAGTTGGTCACCATCCTAAAGGCTTAGTCTCAAAGGAAAGATCATGGGTTCCACTTTATCTAAGAGAGAGTTGAATTTGATCCACTCTCTATAAGGAATAGTTGAAATAGGAGGCAAATATTTAATGCTTTGTAAGAATTGATAGGCTAACTCCTATAAGTGCTAATATAACAAACTAATAATTAACTTTCACCAACCTAAAAATAAAAGAAGTACGTGAAAACTAACCTAATAATAGAGCCTATTCCTTTAAATGAAGATCACCCATTGCCTTAACCAATCAAAAATATCAAAAAAGAATTCAACCACATGTTTTTCTGCCCTTACCTATAATACAACAATGTAAGTTTTGCTTATTTCTCCAAAACAATGTAAGTTTTACTCATTTCTCCATAAAAATAAATAAATAAACAAATAAATAAAATAAAAATAAAAATAAAAAAATAAATTAAAAAAAACAAAAACAAAAAATAAAATAAAATAACATGTGGTCAACTAGGAAAGAAGACAGTTTTACTGAGACGACAACCACTTCAAGTCCTCCATGGAAGGCAGCTCAAACAGCAATCTGTCGAAGTCCACAGTTCGCAAATCTTTTGACAAAATTGAAATACCGTCGCCTTTGCCTCCGCTGCCACTACAATTTTTTCTCTTTTGGGCTGCAAAAGAACTATCTTCCACCGATGCAACGGCAGAGTTCTTACCTGTAAGGCTCTGTACCACAGATTTGAAGCTCAATTGATCGGTTTCCACGTACTGGGTATTGATATAAACCACTTTCACAGGCGCATGAGTAGAAGAAACCGCCATGGAAGAAACTAACTTCACTGTTACAGTGACGATCTTTGCTTTCTTTAATAGATTGCTTGTGTTTGTTTGTGTGTGTATCTTCAATATATAATTTGTAATGGACTTGAATTTGAAGTGAGTGTGTGGTTTATATATATATATATATATATGTGTGTGTGTGCTTGATTAAGGAAGACAAAAGGTGGGGTTTGGACAGCTAGGGGGATGGACCAGTTGACTGGGAATGAGGCAGTCTAGGAGGACCAAAAGTCTTCGAGTCAAAGCAGGCACGCAGTCTATGAATATTAAGCAAGCATTCTTATGACCAAAATTATGCAACTTGATTCTAAAATAAAATTCAAGTGGTATTTGGTAACCCAATTTGAATTCTTCAAACGTTGGATATACAAAAATTGGCTCGAAGTTATGAAATATATATTGAAAGTCTAGATTCGAAGGAAGGCTTTTAAATTTGACATTCATTTCTTGTTAAAAAGATTTTTAGAACTTTTACAAAAAATAATAATAATAAAAATTATATTTAAATAGGAACAACTCAAAATGATTCTACTTTAATAGACAGTTGTGCCTTGGAACATCACTTTTATTTGCATTGAACACACGCTCGCTTCTATCTCCATAAAAAAATTATTATTTTGATTTGTGCTTATTTAAATATAATTTTTCTACTTTTTATGCACCGAATAAAATCAAAAAAGATTAGTATCTTTTTAAAATTTATTAAAATTTGGTCAAATATATATTTATGAAATTCAAAATTTTCAAATTTGAACTTGCAGGAAGAAATTGGACTGCATTAATTGAAGCCATAAACCCTTTCCAACGTTCTTTTCAAAAAAAAAAAAAAACATATCAAAAATTATATTGATCGGATATTGATAGTTACATTATCGGATTGCATATTTTTTATAATATTTCTTAAAAGAAAAACTTTGTTTATTTATTTATTTTTTTGATAAATATAATTCGATCGTATGGTTATCGATATTTGATTAAAATAATTTTTGACATGCTTAAAGTACTTGACGAACCCTACAAAATGTTGGTTTGAATCATATAAATAATTGGGTTTGTTTGGGAAGTGGGTTGGCTTTTTGGCTTTTTGAAGCCTTGTTTGGGAAGGGCTTTTTTATTTTTTTGACTTTTTGTGAGAAAAAGAATGTAATGATTATGGGTTGGATGTGATGTTTTGTCCTTATTGACTTTTTAGCCTATTTTGTCTTTTTGTGGCTAACATAGCCAAAAAAAAAAAAAAGTTCATGCCAAACATAGCATGAATGAAATTATTTATATGAATGTTTAATTTTAACTCAATTTTATTTTCCTAATTTACAAAAACTATATCATATTATTATATATATTTTTTTAGTATATTAACTCTAAAGTATTAGAAAAATACATTATCTTTAAATTTTTTTTTTAAATCTATATTAGCCTTGAAATCTTTTTTTACATACTTTTTAATGGATTGGATAAAATTAAATAAGGGAGTCAAAT